AATAATAAAATGTTTAAATAAAACATGTGAAAAGTTGAAAAAAATTATTTATACAAATAATTTCTCGGTTTAGTCAAGATTCGAACCATTTTTGACTAATTTAGCAGATTTAAAATACTTAGGTTGGAATATATCGGTTAAAGAAATTTAGAATGGTTCGTGTCTCAGCTATGTCGATTTTGTTAAAATTTTAATTAAAATTGCCGGATTTCTTTCTCGGTTTGGCCGAAATTCAAACCATTTTTGACTAATTTAGCACAAATTTTAAATATTTCAGTTGGAATCTCGGCTAAAGAAATTTAGAATGGTTTATGTGTCAGCTATGCCAATTTTGTTAAAATTATTGAACTACATGTTGTATTCAATTTTATTTCTTATGCATTTTTATTGTACTTGTTGATAGTAGGAGTGAGAACACTAAAAAGTTATAAACCGCCCGTAAAACTCAAAATGGGTCAAAATGAAAAAATATGACCTAAATATTTTTTGTACTTCTACATTTGTGCCAAATTAGAAAAAAGTCGAGATGTACCTTTTTGGTAGGTTTACTTGTTAGCTCATGTTAAAAGTTATACAAACAAAAATTAACTCAATTGAAAGTTAACATTAAATTCATTTATTAAAGTTTACAATGCACTCAGAAAGACAACAAAATTCTTCTATTATTATTTTTTTTTACTTTTCTTATATTTCACATTGTTAGCAGCTCGCAATGAAATTTAAGTATAATGTAAAAAAGAATAGATCTTTTTAACTTATTTATTATTTTAATTTAGATTCGCAGTAGCTAAAGTCAATTTCATTTAATTTAAGCGCGTTTAATCGGTTCTTCTCCTTTTTAACTAATGTTTGACTAATGTCCGTGAGAGGACTTCAAGAAGGAAAAATCTCGCGAAATATATAGCGCAAATATCGCCCGGGTACATATTGCATAACCTAGTCTTCCATTCTTTCCTAAACTGCACCCATTTAACCGAGTCAAACACGGGTTTCGTAAACAGCATGCACGTACTTTCATCTCAGCGATTTACGAAGTTGTGCTGACAGTTGCTGCTAGCGCCGGCTTTTGCAATTCATGATCAGAAAAGCTCCGGCAGGCTCTCGAAATCGGCGACGCATGGAGGCCAGGCTATTTGTTCCCAACGCACGACGAGTGTAGCTGAACGTTTTCAGCTGCAAAATGATGCTTGCGGCCTGGGCATCGTGTAAACACGCAGATTCAACGCAGCAAAAACCGTCTTTCTCTATTTTTTTTTTTTTTTTACGCTCTCCTTCTCCTCCATGATACATTTTCATTCGCCTTTCGCCCCGGGGTCATGCCCGCGTTACATAAAGGCTCATTTTATGTAGCGCCACAGCGATCGGTGTCACTCCTCTGTCATCTTCTCACCGCTGTTACCTCGCCGACAACACAATGGATGATGTAAAGTGCATCCATGTGCGGGAACAAGAGCGGGCGTACTAAAGATTCAAATACCGCTCAAAATCCAGATAAAAGAATTTCAGTACGCGGGTTTAAATATATATCAGGATACTCGAGGACTCGGGAAAAATGCGCGCGGCAGGGAGAATGTTTAAGTACTGAAAATTTACTCCTAATCCTCCGAACGCCATTATTAGACCATTGAGATTTTATCCGTATTTCAACGCAAGGGGGTTACGGTGCTCGCTGCTTGCCGGTGCACGCAATGTGTTTCCATTCATCGTGCCGTTATCATTCACGTCCATCAGTCGGGGCAATATGACGCAATCATCATCGCGGCAACGGCATAAAATTTACTGCGCCGACCGTAAAATTTACCGTTGACTAGAACGCTCGCCGGCCCCGCACACATTCGCTGTACGTGGGATCGTTACAAGTGACCAATGCCCGGAGGCTGACGCGAGAACCAATCTAACAAACTGACGTTCTGCGTTCCTGACTAAAAGGACATTGGAAGATACGCACTAAGAAATATGCGCCTAAGATCCGATCGACGCAATGCGCCTTGCTTCTTCTTTGCGCCGCTTCTTTGTCGCATGAAGTTTTTCGATAATATTCCGATCAACGCTCAGACTTTTATGCCGCAATGCGGACGCCACCGTATTGGTTTTAAGAAATATCAGCGCACGGAAATATCGGTAAGCGCTACTCTGTGACACGGCTTAGAGAGATGCCGGCGAGAGATACGGCACGTCTCTGATTGCGTTCCTTAGTTCGCAGCCACCCCTTACTGTCCACCCCGTCTACCGCCACCCGTTTCGGCGCCAACCGCGCTTACCTCTCTTCCCTTCTGCCTTCTCTTCTTAACACTGCAGCTATTCTCTCTCATGGTTCTTCTTTTGTCCGACCAGAAGAGTCTCAGGGTCGGATTTAATACTTTACTTTCAAGAACTGCTTCAACCTCAGCCTTGCTTCCGATACAATGACATGTTATCGAAGTTAAAAGCTGATTCGTGTTAAAAAGGGATGGCAATTTATGAGAGCGAAATTCGATCGTTTAAATGAACACGTTTAATATATGATCAGAACACACATCGTGTATAAAAAATAATTTTAGTTACGCACGTTTAACGATCCTAAAATTAAGGGATGAAGTTGACATTAACACCAGTCTATGTATATTCCTAACCAAAATACTCCAAATGTTTTCTTCCTCACACTGTTCTGTGTCTCTTCTGACTAGACCAAAATACTCCAAATGTTTCCTTCCTCACACTGCTCTCACAAATGAAGGAAAAGATAAATAAAGTAGGAAAGCAACAACCCAAAAACGCTGACGCGCGCATTGCGGGGTAAACAACGGCGTGTCTAAAGTAAATGGAAGTACTTAACTAAGCTGTTCAAATGATGCAACCACTGCACGCCACATATGGGACGCCGCTAACAACCCCCGAGGGGTGAAAATTTGCGCCAGCGGCCCTGAACTGAGACGGTGCGCTTAGAGTAAACGGAGGAGAGAAGAACGGAGAAGCTTTACAGAATTAAGGAGCCATTCGCCTTTCATTAACTCACTGTGGGCCCAAGGGAGGAGAGATATTCCCTTCGTGCTAACTCACCCCCAGTTTGTCACCGCGCAGACAGCGGAAGAAGACTGTCTCCAATAGAAGAGGACTGAACTTTTATCATGCCGCGAGACCGTTTACTGCCACCACCGCCGTCGCCGCTGCCGCTTGGCAAATAGGTAAACGAGATCCTTTCCGATTCCGCTTAACTCTTCGACCGCGATCTAGATTGCGCTACTTCGTTAATCAAGACGATAGAATCCGCGACCCACCCGCGTTTTCAACTCTGTGCCTCTGCTTCTCTCTCTCTCTCTCTCTCTCTCTCTCTCTCTCTCTCTCTCTCTCTCTCTCTCTCT